TTCTTCTTCTCTTTTTAGGTTGGTCATCTTCTTTTTGATTATTTTTATTTTTATCATATTCAATATCTAATTTCATATTATTCTTTTTTTCAAATAGTGAATTAGGTTTGTCTTGTCATTAGCAACAGTTAAAGAAGATAACATCTTAGATGAATTAGAAGTTACAATAGTATCATGTTCAATAAAAGATTCTTTAGACGATTAATCAATAATAAAATCAATATCATCTGCTATAATATCAATAATTGAGCGAGTATTTGATGAAGTATTGGAAAAATTTTCAGAAATGTTAAAATTTAAAGGTAACGGTTTTGAATAATCGATGTTAGTAGCTTCGATAATCATCTTGCTAGAATTTGAAAACTTGAAAAAACCTGTTATAAGTTAGGTATTTTCTACTTTAACATTGGATCCTAAAATTCCAAATGTTTAAATTTTATGGATTTGGAAGAATAAAAAACAGTCATTTCCATTTTAATATTAGCAGATCCAGTAATAGAATTATATTCTACACATTTGACACCAAAATGGATGAACTCTTCGAGTTTTTTTGGATTACGATTAACAAGAATAGAAAATATACAGTGTGGAATACAAATTGGAATATCGATAAATTTAAATTCATAATTAGAATCTCTATTATTAAGAATGGTTGCATATGCAATGGTCATACATTGTTCAGAATTTTCAACGACAAATCTACCTGAAATTAATACCAAGTCACCGGGAGTAAACAATCGAGATGGTCTATTTGTAGAAAAAAAGTATTTCCAACTAATAGTATGGGATGTTTGTTCAGAAAGTTTGTATTTTGCAAGACCATATGAGCATAGACTATTATTTTTTATAGTAGTAATAATAACGAGCAAGGTAAGATAAGATAGCATTTTTTTTTACTAAAGACTGTTTTTTTTTTACAAATTTATTACAATTAATTACAATTAAGAAAAAATTTTATCACACTTCATTTTATAAAAAAAATACTACAAAGATAAAAATAAAATAATCTCAATACTTAACTCTAACTAATTACATTATAATTACTTATTCGACCCTTTGACTCTTAAATTAATTATATCATAATCAATTATACTATATTTAACTCTCATCTTAATTACTCATTTCTTGTATATAGTATTTGATCATGATCATCGATCAAATAATGGGTATTTAATTAACTGAAATCGGGTGAAGT